TTAATAGCATCAATGTCTCTCATATACAAGTCACCATGCAAAATTTTGTTTCTTTATCTTCACCCCATCCTGAGATATTAAGCAAAATAGACACCAATGCACACACACGGAATTTTTTTGCCATTTTGGATATGGGAGGTCTCAAAATGTCGAGATTTGCAAAAAATTCTGAGGGTCAAATCTGACACGATTCCAATACTTTCCCTTGTTACGTATACATAATAGCCAAGAAAGTAAAAACTACAAAGTTCTATCATTTCTCAATATGAGTTTTAGTAAGTTTCTCTAATTATTTTTATTTTATGGCAAAGCATTAAGTAAATGAATCTTGTGAAAACTATCATACACGGTAAATGGTATAATTATGCTGTCAATGTATTTTAATGCATCAATGTCCCATATGGCTATTCCTCACTACGATCTTGTTGCAATTTGTAACGTAATATCAGTCGGTTAAAGTTCTTATATTTGATTCTTCCAAATAACAGTTGAACATTCTTTAATTTGATATTAAACTCCTGAAGACAGTCTATAAAAAAAACCAAAAATGTTAGTTTTAAAAAAGTATTTTGCTTATTATTTGATATACTTTATTGACTATTCGAACACACAAAGAAAAGTACTCTTTATAATCTGCATTCAATAGTTGTTCGATTAGTGAAGTCTCAGTAAAAGTAATATTTTTCATCTTTGAATTTTAAAATTAAAAAAATATTTGTCATCTTCTTAATTCAGAGAATATTAGATATAATTATAACTTCAGTTTTCTTTTAGTTTTAAGTTACTCGTAATTTCAAAATAGTTTAAAGACATGCATAAAATAATTAAGTTGATGTAAATACTATTATTAAAATTAATGTTCTTTAGATTAACACAAAACAAAGATACAAACAACACAAGCTAAATGAAAAGAAACTAAATTACCCGACAATTTTTCTTATGAAGATAAATCATTAAAGATTATGGTGTGAAACATATTGCTTAGATAAAATGAATTTTGTTTACTTTCTCGTTGTGATTATCAGAACTAACAAGGAAGTTCAATGATACTAAGTTAATAAACACAAATGTTTAAATGATTAAAAATGAAAATATGTGAAAGTAAAGTATTTTTTTTTTTAACTTAACATTTAAATGAATGAATATAACTTCAAAACTTAATTTACAAATCAAATTCCAATGTAATTCAAACAACAGAAGAGCACAAAAGTTACAGATAAAGCTATAAAATTAATAGCTTGTCAACTTTATCTACAATTAATATTTTATTTGTGTCAATGTGCTTATATCAGGTTCCATCCCTTGATAATTAATTTATCAACAGATGGAGGCAATAAGTGCCTACCTCTAGACAAAATTAGCATTTAATTATCAACATTAGCCATATCCTAGCCTGATACAATTTGTTAGTTTGTTTGGCATTTACCACCTTTTCTGTATATACTTCCTTGTCTTACTTTCAAAATTATTAGAAAAATATGTGTATTATCGTAACACCCAAACAATTGCAGATCAAAGTATACTGCATAATTTATTATTATTATATTATAAATTATTTGTTTGTTCTTGTTTCTACAGCATGGTCCAAAGTCATGTCGTCCCAAGTTTATTTGAAGTTGTAGATTTAGATTTCATCATTCGTTTCAAATGGATGACACAAGTTCTATAATAAGGAAGAATAGCTTATTGCAAGTGTATGGGCTCACAAATCTCCATAAACTGTAAAGAGCATGAAACATGCGCAACAGGACTTTATACCAAGATTTAGTAGAGATTCTCCTAAAAACACTGAGAGAATATAAGCTGTTCATGACTCAGTTTTGGATAAGAGGAAAGGATGATCATCTTTGTGACAAGAAATATGCTTTAGTTACGGGATGACGAGACTTTCGGATCACCCCGTATATTAAATTCATCCTAACTGTTATATGCATTAGACATACTAATGCCTAGAATAAAGAAATAAAAACTATTAGAATCATCATCATTTTATCAATTCTATTTATTTTACAAATTTAAATATTTTATATAGGTCTGTATCTAATCAACAAATTTTAGATAAAACATTATCAATTTTATCTAAAATATATTTTACCGAAATCAATTTTGTGATAAATGTCATTATTTACATAGGATTATTAATAGATTTTAAATTAATAATTAAATATTAATAAAATCCAAATTTGTATTGGATTTAAAGTTACACTATTAACTGGACGGAAACTCTTAAGATGTGTCGCCATCTGTTGGTAACATTTATAGATAATTTAAACTGACGAGACAAAAAATAGCTCATAATACAATTCTGACATATATTTGTTTTGATTTTTTTATCAATTAAAAACATCAATTATTTGTAATTAAATCAGCATTATTTGTATCCAAATAATTTCTAATCTAGATACTTTCTAGATATGATAACTGTTGTAGATTTTACAAATATTTAATTAATATTTTAATGTAATTTCATATCAAATTAAGTGAAAAAGCATTACATATTCAAGCTATAAAACATTAAAAAGATCGTAAACAGCCTGAATTATAAATTAAATGATAATGAAGGAGTCATCGGACCATAGCTTGGCTAATTAAATATACGGTAGAAAAAAGTAATTTGTGGAGAGTGGCCAATATGGTTACATCTTCAAAATTAATTAATTTCGATATGAAGATCGGACAGAGGTCCGAGTAGCATAACTGGCAACAATCTCTGCAATTATAAGAGTTTGAGTCTTATCCGGATTGATCTGTTCTACAAGGATACTTTTAGTTAATTAGTTTAATTGTAATTATCAATTTTAACACAAGATTGTGGCTTAATTGCCTCTAACTCAAGTCTAAATTATTTTATATCTATAGTTAATTAGCCAAGTTATTGCCCAATGACTGTTATGATATTAATTAATTGAAAATACCACCATATTGTGATATTGAGAATTGGTATATCTAAGGCGTCAATAATATGAATATTTAAGATTTAATACTTCAATTTTGAGACTGAAATGTTTTTTATTAACAAGATGTCATTCTTAATAATAATAATTTCAACACAGTTACAGTTTTAATTATTGTTTTACGAGATGACACAGTATCTTAATATAAATTATGGAGGAGGAGGATGTTTTAAATATTATTTCAATAAAGTTTATTTTGAACATCTTTGTGTATTGGAAAAAACAGGACAGAAATTAGAAAAGGAGATAAAATAATACATACCAACAACACTTATTGTTAAACTAGGAATGAAGTTTAATATTAGAAATCAAATAGTGTACATATATTATTGTGATGTCGTCTGAATGCTGGGCTGCAATTTTTAAAGAATACGTCTAGCATAGACCAAAAGTTCATATATAGTTAATCAGGGCCCCTGGCCCCCAAGCTTTCGAAGCCCCATCTGATCTCTATTTTCATCTAACTCCATTCTCCAGATTAATGAAGGACAAACAGACAACAGTGAAAATTTATAGGACAATTTAAAACTTTCAGACCAACCAATTAATTAACTATTGGAATTAACAATATAATATAAAAAACTTGAATATAAAGATATGCTTCAGAGAAAAAAAGTTCTGATAGTTGCAAAGAAAAACAACACAGATATTGCAATAATATATGGAGAAGCTATATTAAACACAAACTGAATGAATTTTTATTGGGAAAATCTAAATAGTTTTCATAATGAGTTAGAATGACAAAGAAAAATAAAAAGAATGTTAATTAATATTTTCCATTTTGTAATTGTAATATGAATGGGATTGAATATATCTCAATACTCTTATTAATCAGTTGTGCTTGTTCATTCAGAGATGAGAATTTAATTCATGTGAATATTATGCACAAACAGTATTTCAAGACAAATACTAAAAGTACCCGGCATACTACAGAAGAGGAAGACAACGGATCCAAGTAAAGACCTTTAAATATTAAGGCAGCTATATAACATCCAGTAGCAGAAGTGAGAAAGAGGTAACATTGAATATCTCAAGGATAAAGTGCATTTGATAAAAAGAGTCTGGCATATCCATCAAATACAAAAATATATCATTAAGAATTAGAAATTGGATACTTTGTCAAAAGGAGAAAAATAATTGATTGACCTGTGAATACAAAGCACAAGTCACTCAATTATTGCAACACTGACCACAAATTATACATTGTTATAATCCAGTCATGCATATCATCACAGGCAAGACATTTGGTTGTAGACTACCTTAAACCTACAAGCTAATTGCTAACATGAGTATTTCTCAACAGATGTACAGTACAAGACTGCATAATATTGTTTGTAACCTTGTGACAAACTTCAATTGCTTATAGCCTGCTGTTCAGAAGGAATTAAGATTCTTTGAGAAAGGAATTTAGGGACTAATAGAATATCTTCGACAGGACTAACAGAAATAAGGTTTGGAAATCATTTTATTGGTTAGAATGATTTAATCTTCTTTTTTTTATTCTAACAATCATAAATTAACAATGTTTGTTCATTCAAAACATTCAGTAAAGACTAGATCAATTATTTCATCCCTTAATATATTTTTATAAAAACTATCAATCGAACCAGCTATTGATTTCTTTTATAAAATCCATAGTTAATTTTCTATTCTAGTCTGTTATAAAATTTTAATATTTGATGCATTATGATCTGTCAAAATAACAAATATACAATGGATAAGTTTCGTTCAAGNTATTAATAAAAATACAGTATAATGTAATTACATATTTTTTTTTTGAATGAATTTATTTACAATTAAAAATTAAAAAATAGATTTCACTAATTATCAGTAATTTAGCTGCCCACAGGGCACCCTATATGTCTGTGCCAAAGGTAGCAGTCTGTTCTCCCCTAGTTATGACACAGCTCTTCATGGATGTAACAAGTAACAGTTATAATGATGAAATCTTGTCGGTCCCCTAATGCTCGTTATAATTGAGTTTGACTGTATATAAATAATAAAATGTTATATATGCACGTATAGAATTTGAAATAACAAAAATACCTGAATAGAACCATTACAAGCAATTATTTTATTCTTTAAATCTTCATTCCATATACCCAAATTAGTTAGATCATTCATTAAATGATGATTCACAACCTAAAATAAAAACTGAATATAAAACTTTTTACTTTCTTTAACAAAGGCCAATAAATCAAAATTTGTACCTGAAATTCCCCCGATAAAACTCTTCTTACATAAATATTACTTGTGTAAGGTTCTATCGATTCATTATTACCAAGAATTTGTGCAGTAGAAGCAGTGGGCATTGGTGAAACGAGCAAACTATTTCTTACACCATACCTGAAATATAAATTCATATAGTAACTTTTAATATATATAACATAGACAGCGAGACAAATGTGAATTCAATGTACTACAGTATTCAAAATAGTTCTAAGAAGCAGATAATGTTATTTTCCATTTGAAAATCATTCAATTGAGTGAAGTATTAAGTGAATGATGAAACTCAAATACAATAGCTAATATTTTGGTCATTAACAGGCAAAAATGGACATCAGTTAAAGCTGGTCAGCCTGTTATTTCAGCAAACTGTATGCATTACTAAACATATGACAACTGCCATTTTTAGCCATCAGACAGTCCATAGAATGTCTTTTGATTTGTAAAATTGGATTTTTTGTTTGTTATATTTTGGTGTTTTCTTAACTAAATTTTAAGATTTACATAAAAGTAAATATATATAAATGTAACTAATTTCAAATTAATTTTACAAGTATGTGAACTGTATAATTATAATGTATGGGTAAATATATATATATATTCGCTACGAGCTTAGTTCAGCAGTTGTTTTTGTTTACTTTTACGGCGGGTGGCGAAACACTACGTCACAATTACGTTTATTTTATATCCCCAGTTAGATTATAAACATAAAAATCATTTTTTATTTGCCGAAGGAACGTTGTAGCCCTTATACAGGGGGATTTTGGGGAGCGTAGTGCACCCCTTTCTGGGGTTTTTCTTGAATAAATCCGGGTACCTCGCGTAGTAAAACATTTTGTAAGGCATATTGTTTCCTTTCTGCATCCCTCTAGAGATTTATAGATCTGTATATTAAGTTAATATGGTTTATATTTGTAAACTAGAATACAGTACGACGTACAGTACATAATACAAACTGATAAGTGTGACGTTACGTTCGCGTTACTGTAACTATAAGTGACGTCAAAATATGCACTTTTTTTTATTAAGAAGAAAACGAACACGCCCCGTATTAGACGGGCATGTGTTATAACAGTGAACGTAAGTACGTATCTTTATTTTAAAAACCCTTTCGGGGGGAGTAAACACTCGCGAAGATAAAGGGTAACTAAAAGTTTTGCTGCCGGTATTAAAGGGGAAAACACGGAAATAATGCCATTGTAGAAAGGAGGAAAGTAATTTCGCCACCTTCGATCAATGAAAGCGCAAATTATACTCCACACCCAAAGATAAATATCAATCGCTGCGGTTTAAAATAGATGATAGCCTGCACTTAACGCGGTTTACACGAAAGAATGTATTATATTTTTTAAAGTATAATTTAACAGACGCATCTGTTCAGGTATCCCTTAACGTGTGGATAAAATAAATGACAGTTCTGTCCTTTAAATGTTCAAGTATGCCGGTACACGTGTACTGGTTAAATTTGACTATTTCATCCACACAAAACCTCTCCAAATTATGCCCAGGATAGAGAAAGGAGGACGGCATACTCGCTGGTTGAACCAAAAAAGATTGCAAGGAGGTACCCAACTTGGAGGTTTCGCACGTGTTAGTGATTTATAATCACCAGAACANTAATTAATATTTTAATGTAATTTCATATCAAATTAAGTGAAAAAGCATTACATATTCAAGCTATAAAACATTAAAAAGATCGTAAACAGCCTGAATTATAAATTAAATGATAATGAAGGAGTCATCGGACCATAGCTTGGCTAATTAAATATACGGTAGAAAAAAGTAATTTGTGGAGAGTGGCCAATATGGTTACATCTTCAAAATTAATTAATTTCGATATGAAGATCGGACAGAGGTCCGAGTAGCATAACTGGCAACAATCTCTGCAATTATAAGAGTTTGAGTCTTATCCGGATTGATCTGTTCTACAAGGATACTTTTAGTTAATTAGTTTAATTGTAATTATCAATTTTAACACAAGATTGTGGCTTAATTGCCTCTAACTCAAGTCTAAATTATTTTATATCTATAGTTAATTAGCCAAGTTATTGCCCAATGACTGTTATGATATTAATTAATTGAAAATACCACCATATTGTGATATTGAGAATTGGTATATCTAAGGCGTCAATAATATGAATATTTAAGATTTAATACTTCAATTTTGAGACTGAAATGTTTTTTATTAACAAGATGTCATTCTTAATAATAATAATTTCAACACAGTTACAGTTTTAATTATTGTTTTACGAGATGACACAGTATCTTAATATAAATTATGGAGGAGGAGGATGTTTTAAATATTATTTCAATAAAGTTTATTTTGAACATCTTTGTGTATTGGAAAAAACAGGACAGAAATTAGAAAAGGAGATAAAATAATACATACCAACAACACTTATTGTTAAACTAGGAATGAAGTTTAATATTAGAAATCAAATAGTGTACATATATTATTGTGATGTCGTCTGAATGCTGGGCTGCAATTTTTAAAGAATACGTCTAGCATAGACCAAAAGTTCATATATAGTTAATCAGGGCCCCTGGCCCCCAAGCTTTCGAAGCCCCATCTGATCTCTATTTTCATCTAACTCCATTCTCCAGATTAATGAAGGACAAACAGACAACAGTGAAAATTTATAGGACAATTTAAAACTTTCAGACCAACCAATTAATTAACTATTGGAATTAACAATATAATATAAAAAACTTGAATATAAAGATATGCTTCAGAGAAAAAAAGTTCTGATAGTTGCAAAGAAAAACAACACAGATATTGCAATAATATATGGAGAAGCTATATTAAAGACAAACTGAATGAATTTTTATTGGGAAAATCTAAATAGTTTTCATAATGAGTTAGAATGACAAAGAAAAATAAAAAGAATGTTAATTAATATTTTCCATTTTGTAATTGTAATATGAATGGGATTGAATATATCTCAATACTCTTATTAATCAGTTGTGCTTGTTCATTCAGAGATGAGAATTTAATTCATGTGAATATTATGCACAAACAGTATTTCAAGACATACTAAAAGTACCCAGCATACTACAGAAGAGGAAGACAACGGATCCAAGTAAAGACCTTTAAATATTAAGGCAGCTATATAACATCCAGTAGCAGAAGTGAGAAAGAGGTAACATTGAATATCTCAAGGATAAAGTGCATTTGATAAAAAGAGTCTGGCATATCCATCAAATACAAAAATATATCATTAAGAATTAGAAATTGGATACTTTGTCAAAAGGAGAAAAATAATTGATTGACCTGTGAATACAAAGCACAAGTCACTCAATTATTGCAACACTGACCACAAATTATACATTGTTATAATCCAGTCATGCATATCATCACAGGCAAGACATTTGGTTGTAGACTACCTTAAACCTACAAGCTAATTGCTAACATGAGTATTTCTCAACAGATGTACAGTACAAGACTGCATAATATTGTTTGTAACCTTGTGACAAACTTCAATTGCTTATAGCCTGCTGTTCAGAAGGAATTAAGATTCTTTGAGAAAGGAATTTAGGGACTAATAGAATATCTTCGACAGGACTAACAGAAATAAGGTTTGGAAATCATTTTATTGGTTAGAATGATTTAATCTTCTTTTTTTTATTCTAACAATCATAAATTAACAATGTTTGTTCATTCAAAACATTCAGTAAAGACTAGATCAATTATTTCATCCCTTAATATATTTTTATAAAAACTATCAATCGAACCAGCTATTGATTTCTTTTATAAAATCCATAGTTAATTTTCTATTCTAGTCTGTTATAAAATTTTAATATTTGATGCATTATGATCTGTCAAAATAACAAATATACGATGGATAAGTTTTGTTCAAGATGTGTATTTTTGATAAAGCAAGAAATAAAAAATTTTTAAAAACTAAATTAATTAAGTATTTTCTAGGAAAACAAAACTGAACTATGCAGTGTAGAAAACAGACTACAGAAGAAAAACTAAATATAAAATTAAAAAATGTCATGAAAATCATTTAAATTAACAGCAATTAGAAACTTTATTGACATGTAAACACAACCAGTAATTGGCCCATAGACTTTATACGGCAAGTTTGCCTTGAACATCTCAACCCATAGACTAAATTTCAAAATTCTGACTTCATCATAACATTGGCTTTGCCGAGTTGTACATGTTTGCAAAAGTCATGTTTAGTGGTCATCGCGGTTACTTTAAACTTCGATCACAGACAAAACACTTTCTGACCTACGCATAGCTCCACTCAATTATTAATATCAATCTACTTAGTGTTATAAGCGACCATGTAAAAACAACACACCCACAACCAAAGCCATGTTCAGTAATGAAGAGTTCTTGTTAAATCTATTGTGCTGCTGCAATCCTGAATTTGTTTCTACCCAATTTCTGACTCTCCGTTTCTAATTCAGTCAATATACAAGTTTTTATGTGAAGACACAGGAGCGATGTTATCTTTTCTGTCAACCCTACTCATTTGAAAGATATATTTATACCATCTTAAGTGTATTTAAGCTATGCTTCTTTTACTTCTTCCACCATTTTAAAAGACAACCAGCTGACAACCATTCAAAGATATTCCTAACAATTCTTTACTCCGCCCTCCTATTCAATTAGATTTCTTACTTAGCATTCTTTTTCAGATTAGTTCCAATTAATGGCATGGCTCAGTTTTTACCCTGCCTAAGACTTTGTGACCAACAGCAATTTCATTTATAACATAGAATAAAATGTTGCTTATAATATTTGCAATGAAGTTGATCAGCACAGACAAAAACAATTTGATTCATACTAACTACAATAAATACCAAGGATATGAATTAAATCCAAACAGAGATAGATTTGCATGGTACAGGCTATCTTACCATAGAGGCTTGATACTTTTGAATTATGGCACTGTTATCATATGATAATACCAGAAACAAAAATTAAAAACTTCCATGTGATTCAACAGAAAGCAAAAGTATAATAGACACAATCCAGAAAAATTATGATCGAGTATTTAATATGATATTCAGAATAAATCAAAATAGAAGAGAGAACAAAAGAGAAACTAGGTCAAGAACAAATCAAGACCACTAGACCATAAAATTCTTTCTAAATGGGCAATGAATGTATGTAAATATTATATATGCATT